AAAGTATCAGTGAGAGCAATTTGTAACCTTGAGAAATAATCTTGCAAAAAGATGTTTCCATCCATAGTCATCACCATACCTTTCTTACATCCATCTTAACTGGGAGACATTTTTGTCCTGTCACATTTTCTAGTTTCTTAGCTGCCTTAATTTGTGAGTAAAAAGAAAATTTGTGAGCATTTTAAGCAAACTTCTTAGATGACCCACTGACTGGGGTAATGCAGCCCATAACTACATAAAAGAAGTTCAGATTCCAAATTAAAGCCTTCTGCTGACCCCGTGAGTCACACATTGTCCTGGTATCAGTCTTAATTACCATGTTCCCAAAATATTCCAACTTAGGCCTCCATTTAGTGTTCTAAAATCATGAAATGCTAGCCAAACATAAAATTGTACTCACCAGAAAAATGGAAAGAAAATTTAAAAAAAAAAACAACAACAACAACAGAAAAGAAAATGAGATTTTGTGAAATATTATATAAGATTTTATTCTAATGCTTGACCCACTTGAACACTTTACCACATATTATTACACAACTTGGGCAGTCAGAGGGCCAATAACTAAAATCAACCAATCAAAATGCTCTATTGCCCGTCCAATATTCTCTAAGTATTGGACTGGGCACTATCCTGAATGGTCCCGAATGATACCGCACTTGTGTCCCTTTGAATTTCAGTCCTATAATAAATCTCTTAAACCAAGCTTGCTCGGGACCGTACTGGAAGAATATCGGCCCTTGGTCTCTTTTGTATGGACCAAGCACAGCAAGGTCCGTACTGTCAAGACCTAGGGCCAATATTCTCCCAGTACAGCCCTCGCGCTTGGTTAATAAGAGATATATACAGACCACAATGTATAAGAACAATCCTTGCAGTAATGAACATTACTTATGTAGTAGTGAAAAAAAGGCCTGAAAAAAATTCAGGCCCAGTACACGGTTTGAACCCTTGACCTCTGTAATTATACCGGTGCTGGGAGCTGGTCATTATACTGGTTCATGTTCAAAATTTTTTTCAGGGCTTATTTTCACTACTACATATTAAGTAGTGTTCAATACTGCGAGGATCACTTTCATACATTTCTTACAACCACAGTATACATGTACAGTCTTCATATACCCTAATTCACAGATCACAATTATTTTTTATTCTACCAACCTCATTCCCAGGTCTCTCATCTTCCCGCCCCCTGGAGCGAGTGAGGAGTGACCCTGGTTTAGGCTGGTCACGTGTTTACAGAGCAAAAAAATTCCTTAGGGACGAGTAGGTTGTTCACTCAATTTTTGTCTCGTTTGATTTGTCACTTTCAAACATTATCGTTGTTTGGGTCACCATGTTTTATAGCAGCCTTCAAGTAGCTATATCTCGGAGTAGGTATTGTTACTTCATTTAAAACCCAAACAAGTCCAGTGTTTAGAAGCGATATATTCAGGAAGAGATGTTGTGGCTGTTTTACCAACAGGATACAGTAGATCTTTCATTTTTCACCTTCTCTCCTCACTCACTCCAGGAGGCAGGAAGATGAGACCCTTGGAACGAGGTTGGGATTCTGCATGGTGACCAAATGGTTGCAGCTTGGAGTGGTGTAGTTGTAACTCCAGTCAGGAGCTTATGACAAGTGATACCTACCTTAGACATCTCCCTATGAACTTTAACATTGATCAATTTTTCATTTATTCATTCCATTCTTGGCAATATTTAACCAGACTGGCTGTATTCAGCTGTAAGCTTGTTTGAATGGGGAAAAGGGTCTGTAGGGTAACAAGGTAATTTGGCTTTATCAACTAAGTTGAAATTATACATAAGCCACCATAACGAGTTAAAAAGCTGATGTTTTGAGCAGTTAGCACTTGGTCAAAGCAAAGAAGGTCTAACGCTCAAAACATCACCTTTTCAACTCTTTACAGTGGCCAATTTACAATTTCAACTTAATTGATAGAACCAAACATGACAGGACGGAAAATATGTGCACTGTAAGTACCTCTCGTTGTCCCATACAAAGCCTTAGAAAACTTTTCTAAGGCT